CAACCATAAATACAAACGGCTCTTTTAGGAGCCACCAAGTCTAGAATAAAGTCATGACCAATCACGATATAAATTTGTAATCTACCCCCCAAATAGTATTCGCCGTCTAAGTTTGGGGTTAATAACTCGATCGATACTTAGCCACAAATAATTATGTCTCGCGGAAACTCGCTATTTCTATTTGTTTTTGCATGGTTCCATGTTGCTAGTTTTGTTCATAAATGCGTATACCAAAGCATATTTAGCGCTATTTCGGCTATCGCATGTAAAACAAACAACAGCAACCACAGCATTAACGAAAACTGAAACCAGTCTTAGGTCAGTTTAGCTCGGTGTAACATGAATTTAAAGACTGATGTGATTATATCATGAAAGTTGAAATTGCGTTTGCTTTCTATGCAGGTTTCATTCGCGCTGTTTCCAACAGGTTTTTATACGAACTTCGAGGTACATACCAAGCGACAATCGAACAACTTTCTGCTCTTTTTAAACGAGTACACAATTAATCGCATTCCTACCAACCGGGAACAAACATTGCTGCTACTACTGAGCTTGAAATGTTGTTTTCTTTGCCTAAAAATTACAAGAGATCGTCGTGATTTCCTTCGGTACACAAGCTGTTTACGTAAAATAAACTAACACAGTTATAAACCGTCGTCGGTAACGACACAAACCAGCTTGCTCTCTTAATTCTGCCACAACAACAACGTACAACAACAGTTTATTCACTAACTAATTAAAGACAAAAGCTTTACAGTATTGTATGCCCCGCAAAGAGCTATGAGGCTAATCTAGACGGGAAAAAAATAATTTCCCTGTATAAGTAACGACTGCGCTGCTGTAAAGTCACTAAAAAAGAAAAAACTGGCGTGGACGCACCCAGTAAATAAAGCGCTGAATCGATTTCAGGTGTATGTTGACTTGTTGATATGTATATAAACCTTCAGCAATGATCGTAATGAAAACAAATTCTCTTATCACGTATTGGTCAGAGCTTTTCATACATTTGTTGGCTCCTAAAAGAGCCGTTGGTTTAAGTGTTGATCAGGGATTACAGTGTATTCTAACCCCCAAAACCGTACAGAGTACGTCCTTGTCGTTTCAGAGCGTATACTACGTCCATGGCTGTAACGGTCTTACGCTTGGCGTGCTCGGTGTAGGTCACGGCATCGCGGATAACGTTCTCAAGGAAAACTTTCAGAACACCGCGTGTCTCCTCGTAGATCAGTCCAGAAATTCGCTTTACACCCCCACGGCGAGCGAGACGACGGATCGCTGGCTTGGTAATTCCTTGGATATTATCGCGTAGAATCTTACGATGACGCTTAGCACCACCTTTGCCCAAGCCTTTACCTCCTTTGCCGCGACCGGACATTCTCGGTTGTCTGAATTATCGTCAAGGTTTAAAAAGGGAAAGGTCTCGCTCTATGTTAAATTACTGCAGAACAGAAATTACTTTTCAATCTATACCCTTCAATCTGACCTCTCGGGAAACATTATTTCTTGTATTTACATAGATTTGTTCTTAGTAAAAGGACAACAAAAGAATATTATAATTTTCTTTCGCCCCACTGTCTATTGTAAGGCATGCAAATCAAAGCAGGGTGTCTCCGAAGCCGAACCAATCAGAAATGCATAAATCCTTAAATATCCAATCGGCTTGCGACAGCCTCCTGATAAATCGCGGCCATAAAAATTGCCCAGCTTTCACATAGAGCCTTTAATCTTCTGAACATCAGTTTCACAGTCATGGCCCGAACCAAGCAAACAGCGAAAAAGTCCACCGGAGGAAAAGCGCCTCGTAAACAGCTGGCTACTAAGGCAGCTCGAAAGAGCGCTCCTGCTACTGGTGGCGTGAAAAAACCGCACCGTTACAGGCCAGGAACAGTGGCCCTCAGAGATCCGTCGTTATCAGAAGTCCACCGAGTTGCTGATTCGCAAGTTACCGTTTCAGCGTCTTGTTCGAGAAATCGCTCAGGATTTCAAGACCGACTTGCGCTTTCAAAGCTCAGCCGTGCTGGCTCTTCAAGAGGCTAGCGAAGCCTACCTGGTCGGTCTTTTCGAGGACACCAACCTTTGCGCCATTCACGCTAAACGTGTCACCATCATGCCTAAAGATATCCAGTTGGCTCGTAGGATCCGGGGCGAACGTGCATAACAGCTCAGCTCGGTTCTGACAATCTCACATTACAAACGGCTCCTTTAGGAGCCACCACCTGACAATAAAAGTTAATGGCCAATAAACTACTTCTTACCTTGTCTCTACTTATTTCTTTATTAGTTACTAGTGAAATGAGACAGAAATAATTCTCATACTCCACGCCGTTACAAGTTTTTCGCGATAAGGACACAGTAGAGTACTAGTATCCCTAAGCTTACCAAAAAATTAGTGATTGCGCCCAACAACTCCTTATTCGTTCAGTCTATCTCTCTGCCTGTCTTCCTATGTTGACGTTTACAATCCATCTCATTTTCAAAGAACTTAGCAAACATCTTAGAGGTAACAGATCTATCGCGATCAGTAGTAACTGATCCCTCTGCGGTCCGCTATAACAACTTAAGAAAAGAGTTGCGCAAGTAACCAACATTAGCTATCGCTGTGGAGACTATAACGAGACATGTCTGTCAAAAGCACCCAGAAGAAAGCTTCTAAACAGCCGGCCGAACACCCTAAGTATGCAGAAATGATCATACAAGCCCTTCACGCCCTGAAAGATCGTAATGGTTCTTCACGTCAGGCTGTCGACAAGTACGTTAAGAACCATTTCAAAGTGGGAGACAAAGCAAGTCATTTTATTAAAATGGCTCTTAAGAGAGGCGTGGAGAATGGTCAATTTATCAACACCAAAGGGTCCGGAGCTTCAGGTTCTTTCAAGGTCAACAAAGAAGTAAAAAAGCAAAGGCAGCCAAAGACCTGGCGAAGAAGACCAAAACCGCCGATCCAGCCAACAAACCAAAAAAAAAGAAGGTCGCCGCGAAAGAAAAGACCGCCCGCAAACCAGCCGAGAAAACCAAGAAATCGCCGGGTAAGAAAGTTTCCAGCAGCAAGAAGAAGACACCTCTCGTGCCAAAGAAGACTGCCACAAAGAAGCCGTTGCCTAAGAAAGCGAAAGAAAGCAAAGCCTCGGTTAAAAAATCAGCCAACAAGAAAGTCAGTGGCAAGTAAAACTCGCCCACTTATTTAACTACCGGCTCCTTTAGGAGCCACCAAATAAAGAAAAGTCATCACCAATATCACCTCTAGTATGTTGACCTTAGGTCACCTTCACCTATAGCACAGTATTTATTTCTCCTTTGCCGAAACTGATTTCGTTTTTGTTGAGCAGAAGGTTACTTGAACCGCGGCTTAGAGACGCCTTAAAAGAGTAAACAAAAGCCACTCCATAAGATCAGATCAGATCAGATCAGATAAGATAAATACTTTTTATTCGAAGTGGTCAGTACATGCACCTTGGTCAAGAAACTGGTTATCAGGTACCCGGGTAATGAAAACTACCGTAAACGTCAATATTCAATAGTAAGAATCCCTCACGCTTAACTGATTTGAAGTATTAAAACCCTTACATCCCGGAAAATATATATTTGCAGCCTGGTAAACCGTTTTCTTGTTCTCAAGTGCAGTACCGAAATGACCTGTTCATGCCTGTAACAACGTTGTTTTACGAACTACTTCAGTTGATTCTCTGGCGTGGTGTAGTGGTCATCGCCCTGGGAAGGAGATCGTGCGGAAACTGTTGGGTTCGGTGCGTGTTGTCAACCAGCAATCGTTTATTTGTTTCTTTTTTTTCTTCTTTTCTCTTTGCTTACATAAAAATCATCTTTTAAAACCTTTATCTGTTTTTTTTTTATGTAATAAGTAAAGTTGAACGGGTAAATAGAGGAAGGATTTGTTCGTTCATTGAAATTTTTTAATGGGAGCAAGTGTGCGAAGAGTTTCAGGATTTATAATGACGATTGAAAACTCTAAGAAACTGTGTTGATCATTGCTTTTTTTGACATTTGGTGGCTCCTAAAAGAGCCGTTGTTTAGATCTGGTATTGAAGAATGGACTTCACTTGCTACTAGTGTACTTCGTGACGGCCTTGGTACCCTCACTGACTGCGTGCTTTGCAAGTTCTCCTGGAAGGAGCAGTCTGATGGCTGTCTGAATCTGGCGGGAGCTGATAGTGGACTTCTTGTTGTAGTGGGCTAGACGGGAGGATTCTGTAGCAATGCGCTCAAAGATGTCGTTCACGAAAGAGTTCATGATACCCATTGCTTTGCTGGAGATTCCGGTGTCAGGATGTACCTGCTTCAACACTTTGTAGATGTAGATCGCATAACTCTCCTTCCGTTTCGATCGCCGTTTTTTCGTACTGTAGCCGGCGTGGATTTTGCCTTTCCGCCGCTCTTCGGTAACCCCTTGTAACCACCTGCAACCTCTTGTAACCCCCTGTAACTTTCTTTAACTCCTTGTAATCCCCTGTAACTCCCTGTAGCGCCTTGTAACCGTTTGTAACCCATTGTAACCTTCTGTAACGTCGTGTAACCCCTAGTAGTCCCTGTAACCACCTGTAACTCCCTGTAACCCGCTGAAACCCACTGTAACGCTTTGAAACCCCCCGTTAGCGCTTGCAACCCCCAGCAACCTCCTGTATTCACTTGTAGCCCCCTTTACCTCTTTTTACCCTCATGTAACCCCTTGTAAGCCTCTGTAACCTCCTGTAACCCCTTCTAATCCCCTGTAACCTCTTGTCACCCCTTGTTACCCCCTGTAACCTCCTGCAACCCCTTGTAACGCACTGTACCCCTTGTAACACCTTGTAAACCTCTGTAACCCCTGCAACCTCCTGTAACCCATTGTAACCCCTGGTAATCTCTTCTAACGCCCTGTAACCCTTTGTAACCCTCTGTAGCCCCCTTTAACCTTTTGTAACCCCTTGGCGCCCTCTGTAAACCCCCGTAACCCCTTGTAACCCTCCGTAATCCAATGTAACCCCTTGTAACCCTAACCAAAACCCTAACCCCTTCAAATCTCTTTTAACCCTTTGTAACCCGCCGTAACACCTTTTAACCCTCTGTGACTGCTTGTAACCCCCTATAACCCATTGTAACAATCTGTAACCCCCTTGTAACCTCGTGTAACCCCTTGACACCCCCTGTAACTTCTTGTAACCCCCCGTAAATCCTTGTAACCCGCTGTAGCCCCTTGTAACCCCCTTTAAGCCTTTGTAACCCTCTGTAACCCCATGTAACCCCTTGTAACTCCCTGTATGTTAATGTAAACCATTGTAACCCCCTTAACGTCTTGTAACCCCTTGAAACCCTCTGTGACCGCTTCTAACTCCCTGTAACCCCTTGTAACCCTCTGTAACCCCTTGTAACCTCCTGTAACCCCTTGGAACCCCATGTAACTTCTTGTAACCCCCCGTACACCCTTGTAACCCGCTGTAAGCCCTTGTAACCCTCTGTAACCCCTTGTAACCCCCTGTAACCCCTTGTAACAGGCTGCAACCCTTTGTAACCCCCTGTAATCCCTTGGTACCCTCTGTAACCCATTTTAACCCCCCTGTAACCTCTTGTAACCCCTTGTAACCCCTTGTAACAGGCTGCAACCCTTTGTAACCCCCTGTAATCCCTTGGTACCCTCTGTAACCCCTTCTTATCCCCTGTAACTGCTTGTAACCCCATGTAACCTCCTGTAACCCCTTGTACCCCCCTGTAACCTTCCGTAACCCATTGTAACCCACTGTAACTCCCTGTAACACCTTGTAAACCCTTGTGACCTTTGGTAACCCTCTTTAACCCCTTGTTACCCCCTGTAACCTCTTGTAACCACATGTAACCCAATGGTACCGTCTGTAACCCTATGTAACCCCCTGTAACATCTTGTAACCCCTGTAACCTTTTGTAACCCCTCGTAACCCACTGTAACCCGTTGTAACACCTTGTAACCTCCTGTAACCTCTGATTACTTTCTGTAACTTCTTGTAACCCCATATAACCTAATGCAACCCCTTGTAACCCCCTGTAAGCCTTTGTAACCCTCTGTAAACCCATGTAACCCCTTGTAACTCCCTGTATGTTCCTGTAACCCCTTGTAACCCCCTTAACCTGTTGTAGCCCTTTGTAACCCATTGTAACGTTTTTTAACCCCTTGTAAACCCCTGTACGCACTTGTAACCCTTTGTAACCCCTTGTAACTCCCTCTTTCCCCCGGCAACCCCTTAACCCTTTGTAACCTCTTGTAACCCCCTGTAACCCCTTGTAACTTTCTCTAATCTCTTGTAACCCCGTGTAACCCCCTGTAACCCCATGTAACCCCTCGTAACCCTCTGTAAACCCTTGTAACTTCCTGTTACCACTGCAACCTATTGTAACCCTCTGTAACTCCCTATAACCCCTTGTAGCCCCCTGTAACTTGAAACCGCTTGAAACCCTTTGAAACCACTTGTAATCCACTGTAACCTCCTCTAAGCCCTTGTAGCCTCTTGTAACCCCCTGTAACCTCTTGTAAACCCATGAAACCTCCTGTAACCCCTTCTAATCCCATGTAACCATCTCTAACCCCTTGTAAACCCTTGCAACCTCTTGTAACCCCTTTTAACCTGCTGTAACCCCTTGTAACCCTCTCTTACCCCATGTAACCACTTGTAACCCCCTGTAAACTCTTATAACCCTTTGTAACCCTTTGTAACCCGTTGTAACCACCTATAATTCCTTGATACATTCTGTAACCCCTTGCTACCACCCTCTACCCTCTTGTAACCCCATGTAACTTCCTGTAATCTCTTCTAACCCCATGTAACCTTCTGTAACCCCTTCTAACCCACTGTAACCCCTTGTAACACCTTGTAATCCCCTCTAACCCCTCCTAACTCTCTGTAACCTTTTGTAACCCTATGTAACCTTCTGTAACCCCTTGTAACCCTCTGTAACCTCTTGTACCCCCCTGTAACCCCTCCAAACCCCTTGTAACCCCTTGTAACCCCTTGCAACCCCCTGTAACCTTTTGTAACCCCCGGTAACTATTGGTAACCCCCTGTAACCTCCTGTAACCCCTTGTAACCCTCAGTACCCCCTTGTAACCCCTTGTAATCTCCAATAACCTTCTGTAACCCCTTCTAACCTCTGGTAACCCTTTGTAACCCTCTCTAACCCCTATTAACCCCCAGTAACCCCTTGTAACCTTCTGTAACATCTTGTATGCCCCTGTAACCTCCTGTAACCTCTTTAAACCCCTGTAACCCCTTGCAACCCCCTCTAACCTCTTGTAACTTCCTCTAATCCATTGTAACCCGCTGTAACCCCATGTAACCCCTTGTAACCCACTGTAACTCCTTGTAACCCCTTGTAACCTCTTGTAACCGCTTCTAACCTTCTGTAACCCCTTGATACCCTTTGTAACCCGTTGTAACCCTCTGTAAGCACTTGTAACCCCCTGTAAGCCCTTCTAACCCTCTGTAACCTCTTGTAACCCCCTGTAACCCCTTGTAATCCTCTGTAACCTCCTCTAACCTCTCGTAACCTTTTGTAACCCTCTGTATCCCCCTGTAACCCCTTGTAACCTTCTGTAACCTCTTGTAAACTTCTGTAACCGCTTGTACCCCCTTGTAAAGGAAATAAAGTGAGATGTAAAGAATCAACCATAAGAGGACAGAAAAATCTGAGCCCCAGATGGGATTCGAACCCACGACCCTCCGGAGGGTAGTGGGTTCGAATCCAATCTGGGGCTCAGATTTTTTCTGTGTCCTCTTATGGTTGATTCTTTACATCTCCCTTTATTTCCTTTATAGTATTAATATCCCCCTGTAACCTTTTTTAACCCCCCGTAACCCCTAGTAACACTATGTAACCCCTTGTAACCCACTGAAACCCCTTGTAACCCCTGTAACCCGCTGTCACCGCCTGTAACATTTATCAACCCCCTGTAACTCTCTTTAACTCCTTGTAACACTCTGTAACCTCTTGTAGCCCCCTGAAACCCCTTGAAACAAAATGAAACCCATTGTAACCCCCTGTAACCTTGTGTAACCTCTTGCAACCCCCTGTAACCTTTTGTAACCGCCTGTAACTCCTTCTAACCAACTGTAACCTCCTGTAACCCCTTGTAACCCTCTGTACCCCCTTGTAACCCCTTGTAATCACCAATAACCTTCTGTAACCCCTTCTAACCTCTGGTAACCCTTTGTAACCCTCTCTAACCCCTATTAACCCCCAGTAACCCCTTGTAACCTTCTGTAACATCTTGTAACCCCCTGTAACCTCCTGTAACCTCTTTAAACCACTGTAACCCCTTGTAACTCCCTCTAACCTCTTGTAACTTCCTCTAATCCCTTGTAACCCTCTGTAACCCCATGTAACCCCTTGTAACCCGCTGTAACTCCTTGTAACCCCTTGTAACCTCTTGTAACCCCTTCTAACCTTCTGTAACCCCTTGTAACCCTTTGTAACCCGTTGTAACCCTCTGTAAGCACTTGTAACCCCCTGTAAGCCCTTCTAACCCTCTGTAACCCCTTGTAACCCCCTGTAACCCCTTGTATTCCTCTGTAACCTCCTCCAACCTCTCGTAACCTTTTGTAACCCTCTGTATCCCCCTGTAACCCCTTGTAAACTTCTGTAACCGCTTGTACCCCCTTGTAAAGGAAATAAAGTGAGATGTAAAGAATCAACCATAAGAGGACAGAAAAATCTGAGCCTCAGATGGGATTCGAACCCAAGACCCTCCGGAGGGTCGTGGGTTCGAATCTCATCTGGCGCTCAGATTTTTTCTGTGTCCTCTTATGGTTGATTCTTTACATCTCCCTTTATTTCCTTTATAGTATTAATACCCCCCTGTAACCTTTTTTAACCCCCCGTAACCCCTAGTGACACTATGTAACCCCTTGTAACCCACTGAAACCCCTTGTAACCCCCTGTAACCCGCTGTAACCGCCTGTAACATTTATCAACCCCCTGTAACCCTCTTTAACTCCTTGTAACACTCTGTAACTTCTTGTAACCCCCTGAATCCCCTTGAAACAAAATGAAACCTATTGTAACCCCCTCTAACCTCGTGTAACCCCTTGCAACCCCTTGTAACCTTTTGTAACCCCCTGTAACCCCTTGTAGCCCCCCGTAATTCCTTGTAACCCGCTGTAACCCCTTGTAACCCCTTGTAACCCTCTGTAACCCTTTGTAACACTTTGGTACCCTCTGTAACCCCTTGTTACCCCCTGTAACTTCTTGTAACCCCATGTAACCTCCTCTAACCCCTTGTAACCCCCTGTAACCTTAAGTAAACCATTGTAACCCACTGTAACTCCTTGTAACACCTCGTAAACCCTTGTAACCCATTGTAACCCTCTGTAACCCCTTTTAACCCCCTTTTAACCCCTTGGTACCCTCTTTAACCCATTCTAACCATCCCTGTAACCTCTTGTAACCACATGTAACCCCTTTTAACCCTTTGTAACCCCTTGTAACTCTCCATAACCCCTTGTAACCCCCTGTAACCCAATGGTACCCTCTGTAACCCTATGTAACCCCCTGTAACCTCTGGTAACCCCCTGTAACCTCCTGTAACATATTGTAACCCCTGTAACCTTTTGTAACCCCTCGTAACCCACTGTAACCCGTTGTAACACCTTGTAACCTCCTGTAACCTCTGGTAACTCTCTGTAACTTCTTGTAACCCGATATAACCTCCTGTAACCCCTTGTAACCCCCTGTAACCCAATGGTACCCTCTGTAACCCTATGTAACCCCCTGTAAACTCCTGTAACATCTTGTAACCCCGTAACCTTTTGTAAACCTTCGTAACCAACCTAACCCGTTGTAACATTTTGTAACCTCCTGTAACCTCTGGTAACTCTCTGTAACCCCTTGTAACCCGATATAACCTCCTGTAACCCCTTGTAACCCCCTGTAAGCCTTTGTAACCCTCTGTAACGCCTTGTAACCCCATGTAACTCCCTGTATGTTCCTATAACCCCTTGTAACTTTTTGTAACCCGTTGTAAACCCCTGTACGCACTTGTAACCCTTTGTAATCCATTGTAACCCCCTCTATCCCCCAGCAACCCCATAACCCTTTGTAACCTCTTGTATCCCCTTGTAACCCCCTGTAACTTTCTCTAATCTCTTGTAACCCCCTGTAACCCCCTGTAACCCCTTGTAACCCTCTGTAAACCCTTGTAACTTCCTGTTAGCCCTGCAACCTATTGTAACCTTCTGTAAACTCCTATAACCCCTTGTAACCCCCTGTAACCTCCTGTAACCCCTTCTAACCCTCTCTAGCCCCTCGTAACCCCTTGAAACCGTTTGTAACCCTTTGAAACCAATTGTAATCCTCTGTAACCTCCTCTAAGCCCTTGTAACCTCTTGTAACCCTTTGTAACCCTCAGTAACCGCTATTAACCCCTTGTAACCCCTTTCAATCCTCTGTAACCCCTTGTAACCCCCTGTAACCTCTTGTAAACCCATGAAACCTCCTGTAACCTCTTCTAATCCCTTGTAGCCTTCTCTAACCCCTTGCAACCTTCTGTAACCCCTTGTAACCCTCTGTAGCCTATTGTATCCCCCTGTAACCATTTCAAACCCCTTGTAACCATCTTTAAATCCTTGTAACCCCTTGTAACCCCTGTAACCTATTGTAACTCTCTGTAACCCCCTGTAACCCTTTGTAACCCCCTGTAACCTTCTGTAACCCCTTGTACCCTCTATACCCCCTTGTAGCCGCTTGTAATCTCCTGTAACCCTCTGTAACCCCTGCTAACCTCTGGTAACCCTTTGTAACCCTCTCTAACCACTATTAACCCCCAGTTACCCCTTGTAACCTTCTGTAACCCCTTGTAACCCCCTGTAACCTCCTGTAACCTCTGTAAACCCCTCTAACCCCCTCTAACCCCTTGTAACACGCTGTAAGCCCTTGTAACCCGCTGTAACCCCATGTAACCCTCTTGTAATCCCTTGTAACCTTCTGTAACCAGTTGTAACCCTTTGTAACCCGTTGTGACCCCCTGTAACCCTTTTGTAATCCTCTGTAACCTCCTCTAACCGCTTCTAACCTCTCGTAACCTTTTTTAACCCTCTGTAACCCCTTGTAACCTTGTGAAACCTCTTGCAACCCTCTGTAACCGCTTATAACCCCTTGTAACCTTTTTTAACCCCATGTAACCCCTTGTAACACTATGTTACCTCTTGCAAGCCACTGACACCCCTTGTAACTCCCTGTAACCCCTCTAACCGTCTCTAACGTTTACCAATCCCCTGTAACCCTCTTTAACCCCTTGTAACACTCTTTAACCTCTTGTAACCCCCTGTAACCCCTTGCAACCCAATAAAACATCTTGTAGCCCCCTGTGACCCCTTGTAACCCCCTGTAAGCCCTTGTAACTTTCTGTAACCCATTTTCACCCTCTGTAGCCTCTTGTATCCCCCTGTAACCCCTTCAAACCCCTTGTAACCATCTGTAAATCCTTGTAACCCCTTGTAACCCCTGTAACCTATTGTAACTCTCTGTAACCCCTTTAACCCTTTGTAACCCCTTGTAACCTTCTGTAACCCCTTGTAACCCTCTGTACCCCCTTGTAGCCGCTTGTAATCTCCAGTAACCTTCCGTAACCCCTTCTAACCTCTGGTAACCCTTTGTAACCCTCTCTAACCACTATTAACCCCCAGTTACCCCTTGTAACCTTGTAACCTGTAACCTCTGTAAGCCCCTCTCACTCCCTCTAACCCCTTGTAACACCCTGTAAGCCCTTGTAACCCCATGTAACCCCATGTAACCCCTAGTAACCTTCTGTAACCTCTTGTAATCCCTTGTAACCTTCTGTAACCAGTTGTAACCCTTTGTAACCCGTTGTAACCCCCTGTAACCCTTTTGTAATCCTCTATAACCTACTCTAACCCCTTGTAACTTCTCGTAACCTCTTTTAACCCTCTGTAACCCCTTGTAACCCCTTGTAACCTTGTGAAACCTCTTGCAACCCTCTGTAACCGCTTATAACCCCTTGTAACCTTTTTTAACCCGCTGTAACCCCCTGTAACACTATGTAACCCCTTGTAACCCCCTGTAACCTTTTGCAAGCCACTGACACCCCTTGTAACCCCCTGTAACCCATCTAACCGTCTCTAACATTTACCAATCCCCTGTAACCCTTTTTAGCCCCTTGTAACACTCTGTAACCTCTTATAACCCTCTGCAACCCCTTGCAATCCAATAAAACATCTTGTAGCCCCCTGTCACCCCTTGTAACCCCCTGTAACCTCGTGTAACCCCTTGCAACCCCCTGTAACCTTTTGCAATCCCCTCTAACTCTTTTTAACTACCTGTAACCCCCTGTAACCCCTTGTAACCCTTTATAACCCCTTGTAAACCAATGAAACCCTCTGTAACGCCTTGTCACCCTCTGTAACTCCTTGTAACCCTCTGTAACCGCTTATATCCCGCTCTAACCCCTTGTAACCCTCTGTAACCTCTTGTAATCCCATTTAACCCCTTGTAACACCTTGTAACCCCTGTAACCCCCTGCAACTTCTCGTAACCCTTTATAACACCTTGTAACCCGTTGTAACCCTTGTAACCCATTTTAACCCACTGTAACACCCTGTAACCCCTTGTAACCCGCTGTGACCGCTTCTAACCCTCTGTAACCCCTTGTAACCCTCTGATACCCCTTGTATCCCTTTGTAACCCCTTGTAACCCCCTGTTATCCTTATGTAACCCCCTGTAACCTCTTGTAACCCCTTGTAACCTCTTTTATCCCCATGTAACCCATTGTAACCCCCTGTATCCTCTATTAACCCGTTGTAACAATCTCTAACCCCTCGCAACTCTTTGTAAAACCTTGTAGCCCCTGTAAGCACTTGTAACCTACTGTAACCCCTTGTTACGCTCTCTGATCCCTTGTAACCCCCTGTAACCTCTTGTAACCCCCGGTAACCCCCTGTAATCCCTTGTAACCCCTTGTACCCTCTGTAACCCCATGTAACCCCCTGGAACTTCTTGTAACCCCTTGTGACCTTCCATAACCCCTCGTAACCCACTGTAATTTAATGTAACCCCTTGTAACCCCCTGTAAGCACTTGTAACACCCTTTAACCCATTGTAAACCCCTGTAACCCATTGTAACACTCTGTAAGCCCTTGTAACCCCTGGAACCTCTTGGTATCCTCTGTAATCCCTTGTAACACCCTGTATCTTCTTACAACCCCAAGTAACCTCCTGTAACCCCTTGTAACCCCCTGTAACCTTCTGTAACTTCTTGTAATCCCCTGTAAGCCCTTGTAACCCCTTGTAATCCCCTGTAAGCCCTTGTAACCCCTTGTAATCCCCTGTAAGCCCTTGTAACCCTCTGTAACCCCTTATAACCCCCTGGAACTTCTTGTAACCCCTTGTGACCTCCCGCAACCTTTTGTAACCCACTTTAATTTCCTGTAACCCCTTGTAACCCCCTATAAGCACTTGTAACACCCTATAACCCCTTGTAACCCCCTGTAACCCATTGTAACCCCTGGAACCCCTTGCTACCCTCTGTAATCCCTTGTAACACCCTGTACCTTCTTATAACCCCAAGTAACCTCTTATAACCCCTTGTAACCCCCTGTAACCTTCTGTAACTTCTTGTAATCCCCTGTAACCCCTTGTAACCCCCTGTAACCTTCTGTAACTTCTTGTAATCCCCTGTAAGCCCTTGTAACCCCTTGTAATCCCCTGTAAGCCGTTGAAACCCTCTGTAACCCCTTATAACCCCCTGGAACTTCTTGTAACCCCTTGTGACCTCCCGCAACCTTTTGTAACCCACTTTAATTTCCTGTAACCCCTTGTAACCCCCTATAAGCACTTGTAACACGCTATAACCCCTTGTAACCCCCTGTAACCCATTGTAACCCCTTGTAACCCCTGGAACCCCTTGCTACCCTCTGTAACCCCTTGTAACACCCTGTATCTTCTTATAACCCCAAGTAACCTCTTATAACCCCTTGTAACCCCCTGTAACCTTCTGTAACTTCTTGTAATCCCCTGTAAGCCCTTGTAAGCCCTTGTAATCCCCTGTAAGCCCTTGTAACCCTCTGTAACCTCGTGTAAACCCCTGTATCCTCTTGGAAACCCTTGCAATCCCCTGTAACCCCTTGTAACCCCTTGGTACCCTCTGTAACCCATTGTAACCCCCTGTAACCTCCTGTAACCACATGTAACCTCCTGTAACCCCTTTTAACCTCCTGTAACCTTCTGTAACCCCTTGTAACCCACTGTAATCCCATATAACCTCCTCTAACCCCTTGTAACCCCCTGTAACCTTCTGCAACCCCTTGTAACCCATTATAACTCCTTGTAACACCTCTTAAACCCCTGTAACCCCTTGTAACCCTCTTTAACCCCTTGTAATCTTCTGTAACCTTTTGCAACCCTATGTAACCCCTTGTAACACCTGTAACCCATTGTAATCTTCTGTAACCCCTGTAACCCGTTGTTACCACCTGTAACCCAATGTAACCCCCTGTCACCCCCTGTAACCCCTTGTAACCTTCTGGAAGCCCTTGTAGCCCATTGTCACCTCTCTAACCTATTGTAACCCCTTCTAACCCCTTCTAACCCCACGTAACCTCTTGAAACCCGTTGTAACCCTCTGTATCCCTTTGTACCCCCCTGGAACCCCTTGTAACCCCCTGAAACCCCTTGTAATCCTCTATAACCTCCTCTATCCCCTTGTAACGTCTCGTGAGGTTTTGTAACCCTCTGTAACCCCTATTAACCCTCTCTAACCTCTTGTAACCCCCTGTAACCTCTTGTAACCACATGTAACCCCACATGTAACTCCTGTAACCCCTTGTAACCTCCTTTAACCTTCTGTAACCCCTTGTAACCCACTGTAACCCCATGTAACCTCCTGTAACCCCTTGTAACCCACTGTAACCTTCTCTAACCCCTTATAACCCATTGTGTAAGCACTTGTAACACCCTATAACCCCTTGTAACCCCCTCTAACCCATTGTAACCCTCTGTCACCCCTTGTAACCCGTGGAACCCCTTGCTACCCTCTGTAACCCCTTGTAACACCCTGTATCTTCTTATAACCCCAAGTAACCTCCTGTAACCCCTTGTAACCCCCTGTAACCTTCTGTAACTTCTTGTAATCCCCTGTGAGCCCTTGTAACCCCTTGTAACCCCCTGTAAGCCCTTGTAACCCTCTGTAACCCCATGTAACCCCTTGTAACCCCCTGTAACCTCGTGTAACCCACTGTATCTTCTTGGAAACCCTTGCAATCCCCTGTAACCCCTTGTAACCCTCTGTAACCCCTTGGTACCCTCTGTAACCCATTGTAACCCCCATTGTAACCTCTTGTAACCACATGTAACCTCCTGTAACCCCTTGTAACCTCCTGTAACCTTCTGTAACCCCTTGTAAACCACTGTAACCCCATATAACCTCCTGTAACCCCTTGTAACCCACTGTAACCTTCTCTAACCCCTTGTAACCCATTGTAACCCCTTGTAACCCATTGTAACCCCTTGTAACACCTCTTAAACCCTTGTAACCCCTTGTAACCTTCTGTAACCCATTGTAATCTTCTGTAACCCCTGTAACCCGTTGTAACCCCCTGTAACCCCTTGTAACCCTCTGCAACCCTTGTAACCCCTTGTAACCTCTCTAACCTACTGTAACCCTCTGTAACCCCTTCTAGCCCCCTGTAACCTCTTGTAACCCTTTGTAACCCTCTGTAACCCTTTGTAACCCCCTGGAACCCCTTGTAACCCCCTGAATCCCCTTGTAATCCTCTATAACCTCCTCTATCCCCTTGTAACCTCTCGTAACGTTTTGTAACCCTCTGTAACCCCTATTAACCTTCTCTAACCTCTTTTAACCCCCTGTAACCCCTTAATCCCATTCCGATCCAAACGGTGGTTATTTTGCAAAATACTCTCACACTCCTCTTATTTTGCGTTTTAAGCTAGTCCTACGGCGCTTATCATCACAGCAACAATTTGGAGCCCTTACGGTAAAATTCTCTCTTAACCCTATAAAAACCAAAAGATGGCCAATTTGAGAAATACTGTCACATACCCCTGAATCACCGTTCACATATTTTCTTATGGTGCGTTTTATGTAAGTGACATTTTGGAGCCCTTACGCTGTAACTCTCACTTGATCCCATAACGTCCCAAACGATGGTTAATTTTGTAAATACTGTCATACGCGTCTGACTTATCGTTTTCAGCTTATCTTATAGTGATTATCATCAAAGCGACATTTTCGAACTCTCACGGTAAATTGCTCTGTTAACCCCATTACCACCCAAAAGAAAAACTAATTTTGTCTTACAGCTGTATTTTGTTGTTTTCAGTTTGTCATATGTTGCTATCATGTAAACGAGAATTTCGAACTCTAACGGTATAATTCTAACTTGAGCCCATTAACACCCACAATACGACTAATTTTTAAAACACTGTCACATGCCGCAAATTTACCGTTTTCAGCTAGTCTTATGGTTCTTATCATCCCAGTGACATTTCAAGGGTCTTACTATTAAATACTCAGTAAACCCTATGACGACGCAAAAGATGCTAAATTTGCAAAATACTGTCGCACGCTTCTAATTGATAGTTGTCAGCTACACTTATGGTGCTAATCATGTGAGGGACACTTTGGATCTCTTACGGTGTAATTCTCACTTGATACCATTCCGATCTAAAAGATGGTTATTTTGCAAAATACTCTCACACGCATCTTATTTAGCGTTTTAAGCTAGTCTTATGGTGCTTATCATCACAGCAACAATTTGGAGCTCTTACGGTAAAATCTCCCTTAACCCATATGACCCAAGAGTTGGCCAATTTGAGAAACTCTGTCACACATCTCTAAATCACCATTCACAGCTTTTCTTATGGTGCGTTTTATGTAAGCGACATTTTGGAGCTCATCCGGTGTAACTCTCACTTGATTTTCAAAATGCTGTTTATTTTCGAAATAGTCATACGTCTCAAATTCATCATTATTTAGCTAGTCTCATTATTCTTATCATTACAGCGCCATTTCAGAGCTTTTGGTATTAAATACTCAGTAAACGCCACTACGACCAGCAAGACGACCAATTTGCAAAATACTCTCAGACGCCTTAGAATCATCGTTTTTAGCTAATCCTACGATGCCTTTTATTACACCGACATGTAAAGGCTGTTGCAGTGCAATTCTCACTTAACCACATTACGACCTTAACGAAGCCCATTCTCAAAAATACTGTCAAACGCCTCTGATTCATTGTTTTCAGCTAGTCTTATGATGCTTATCATCAGAGCGACATTTTGAAGCTATTACGTTTAAATTCTCTGTTAACCCCATTACGACCCAAAAGATGGCAAATTTAAGAAATAGTGTCTGACGACTCAAATTGTTTTTATCTAGTCTTATCGTTCTTATCATTACGGCGACCTTTTGGAGGTCTTACTACTAAATATTCCGTAAACCCTATTACGAGCCAAAAGATGCTTAATTTAGAAAATACTGTCATACGCTTCTAATTGATAGTTCTTAGCTAGACTTATGTTGCTGATCATGTAAGCGACACTTTGGCTCTCTTACGGTGTAATTCTCACTTGATCCCATTCCGATCTAAAAGATGGTTATTTTGCAAAATGTTCTCACAAGTCTGTAATTTAGCGTTTTAAGCGAGTCTTATCATCACAGCAACAATTTGGAGCTCTTACGGTAAAATTCTCTCTTAACCCTATAAGACCCAAAACATGGCCAATTTGAGAAATACTGTCACACATCTCTGAATCATCATTCACAGCTTTTCTTATGGTGCGTTTTATGTAAGCGCCATTTTGGAGCTCATCCGGTGTAACTCTTACTTGATTTTTAAAATACTATTGATTTTCGAAATACTGTCATACGCCTCAAATTCTTCATTTTCAGCTAGTCTCATTCTTCTTTCCATTATAGCGCCATTTTAGAGCATTTTAGAGCTTTTGGTATGAAATACTCAAACAACGCCACTACCACCACCAAGACGACCAATTTGCAAAATACTCTCAAACGCCTTAAAATCATCGTTTTTAGCTAATCTTACATTGCCTTTTACTACACCCACATTTGAAGGCTGTTGCAGTGAAATTCTCACTTAACCACATAGACCTTAACGATGCCCATTTTCATAGATACTGTCAAACGCCTCTAATTGATTGTTATAACCTAGTCTTATGGTGCTTATCATCACAGCGACATCTTGAAGTTCTTACGGTAAAATCCTCTCTTAACCCCATTACGACCGAAAAGATGGAAAATTTCCGGATGTTTATCGTTTTCTTATGGTTCTTATCATGTAAGCGACATTTCTGAGCTTTTACGGTACAATTCTAATTTGTTCCCACAACGACGCAAATTATGACAAATCTATAAAATACTGTCACACGCCTCAAATTTACCGTTTTCAGCTGGTTTTGTGGTTCTCATCATCACCCCAACTTTTTGCAGGTCTTAGAATTAAGTACTCAGTAAACCCTATTACGACCCAAAAGATGCTTAATTTGCAAATTACTGTCACACGCTTCTTACTGATAGTTCTTAGCTAGATTTACGGTGTTGATCATGTAAGCAACACTTTGGATCTCTTACAGTTTAATTCTTACTTGATCCTATTCCGATCTAAAAGATGTTTATTTTTCAAAATGTTCTGACACGCCCCTAATTGAGCGTTTTAAGCGAGTCTTATGGTGCTTATCATCACAGCAACAATTTGGAGCTCTTACGGTAAAATTCTCTCTTAACCCCATAAGACCCAAAACATGGCCAACTTGAGAAACACTGTCACATATCTCTGAATCATCATTCACAGCTTTTTTTATGGTGCGTTTTATGTAAGCGCCATTTTAAAGCTCTTCCGGTATAACTCTCACTTGATTTTCAAAATACTATTGAGTTTCCAAATACTGTCATACGTCTCAAATTCATCATTTTCAGCTAGTCTCATTCTTTTTACCATTCCGGGGCTTTTTTAGAGCTTTTGGTATTAAATACCCAGTCACCGCGATTTCGACCAGCAAGACGACCAATTTGCAAAATACTCTCAGACGCCTTAGAATGATCGTTTTTAGCTAAACTTACGATGCCGCTTATTTCACCGACATTTGAAGGCTGTTGAAGCGAAATTCTTAGTTAACCACCTTACGACCTTAACGAAGCTCAGTTTCAAAAATACTCTCAAACGCCTCTGATTCATTGTTCTCACATACCCTTAGGGTGGTTATCATCAGAGCGACATTTTGAAGCAATTACGTTAAAATTCTCTGTTAACCCCATTACTACCCAAAAGATGGCAAATTTAAAAAATAGTGTATGACGCCTCAAATCTACTGTTTTAATCTAGTCTTATGGTTCTTATCATCACGTCGACATTTTATAGGTCTTACTATTAAATATTCAGTAAAACCTATTACGAGCCAAAAAATGCTTAATTTAGAAAATACTGTCAAACGCCTCTGATTCATTGTTTTCAGCTAGTCTTATGATGCTTATCATCAGAGCGACATTTTGAAGCTATTACGTTTAAATTCTCTGTTAACCCCATTACGACCCAAAAGATGACAAATTTAAGAAATAGTGTCTGACGACTCAAGTTGTTTTTATCTAGTCTTATCGTTCTTATCATTACGGCGACCTTTTGGAGGTCTTACTACTAAATATTCCGTAAACCCTATTACGAGCCAAAAGATGCTTAATTTAGAAAATACTGTCATACGCTTCTAATTGATAGTTCTTAACTAGACTTATGTTGCTGATCATGTAAGCGACACTTTGGCTCTCTTACGGTGTAATTCTCACTTGATCCCATTCCGATCTAAAAGATGGTTATTTTGCAAAATGTTCTCACAAGTCTGTAATTTAGCGTTTTAAGCGAGTCTTATCATCACAGCAACAATTTGGAGCTCTTACGGTAAAATTCTCTCTTAACCCTATAAGACCCAAAACATGGCCAATTTGAGAAATACTGTCACACATCTCTGAATCATCATTCACAGCTTTTCTTATGGTGCGTTTTATGTAAGCGCCATTTTGAAGCTCTTCCGGTATAACTCTTACTTGATTTTTAAAATACTATTGATTTTCGAAATACTGTCATACGCCTCAAATTCATCATTTTGAGCTAGTTTCATTGTTCTTACCATTACAGCGTCATTTTAGAGCTTTTGGTATGAAATACTCATTAAACGCCACTACGACCAGCAAGACGACCAATTTGCAAAGCACTCTCAAACACCTTAAAATCATCGTTTTTAGATAATCTTACAATGCCTTTTATTACACCGACATTTAAAGGTTGTTGTAGTGCAATTCTCACGTAACCAAATTACCACCTTAACGATGCCCATTTTTAAAGATACTGTTAAACGCCTTTAATTCATTGTTATCAGCTAGTCTTATCATCAGAGTGACATTTTGAAGTTCTTACGGTAAAATCGTCTCTTAACCCCATTACGACCTAA